ATTCAGTAGAGATGTTCAACTAAAAGGCCTACATATTGGATTGGCACAGCAAAATGTATTTCAATTGTAAATCAGCATGTTCCTTTGAAACACCTTTTCATATTAGATACTAAAAATTAGCAATTCTGGCTCTAAAAAATAAAATAAATATGCTCCTCAAGAGCTAAAATCATTCTCTTTTGTTTTTCTATAAAAACACATTCAACAGGAATTCATTTTAAAGTGTAACCCTATCTTTTAGGATGTCTGCCACAATCTTAATTAGAATACTGTCCCCTTGGGGAACCAAGCCAATGGGAATCAAGTCCCAAATAAGAGCGAACCACAGAAAAATGTCTTTGTTTCTGTTGATTATATGAGATAATGGTCTCAAATGAAAAGAATTCTATTCGTGTCCATCAAAGCTAAGATGCACAAAAAGCAAATCTCTTGACCCTGAACGGAAAAGAAAGCTAAAGACAGAAATGATGGAGTACACTACCTCAGACTTAGCTCTCCAAACTAGCGAAAGAACCCATTTAAAATATTACAGATCAAATTTCAAGCCAATACAATATTCTCTTATAGATTTAACATATTATAGGCGATCTTTTTCCCCCTTAATCAATATTCACTGCTTCCATCATAAGAACTTTCTCTTGGGTATACCGCTAATCATCACAGTTTCTTTCTGGTTGTGTGATGATATACTACAGATATCACAGGAATATGGCAAACAGAAGTGAGCATAAAAATGACCCCTCATTGAAACTGTGGTCTCGTGTGAGAATCTCAGGAGCACCCACGTTAAAATTCCTTTCCTAAAATCTGTTTCCAAATATTTGAGGCATCATTTTAAAGATACCCATAAAAAAGAGATCTACTGGGATTCATTTAAAATTTACCCTTCTTGAAGGGTAATCTTCTTGAAGATTGCCCTTTGCCTAGAACCTAACTGGAAATTCTGATTGACTCTGTTTCCTAAACAAAGTATCATTTATCCCTTTGACCACAGGGATAATATGCTCACTTGCCAGAATGTACCATAACTTATATGAAAATGCTAAATAGACAGACTGATACTAACCAAAAAGAAATAATACAGCTAGAATTCTATTCTATTCACTTTCATACCTCAAATTATAATATATAACAGTCACTGCCCAGATAGATGATTTACAGAAAAACCAAGGTTCTTATCTGAATATAATCTTGAAATGAATTTTTAATCATGTAAAAAGAGGTTTCAATGTCCCAGTTACATACTAAAGACCCACTAGAAAAGAAAGTGAGTCCCTGTGCAGGAAAAGGTAAAGACCACAGTCTCTGATAATAAAAGAACTCAAACAAAGTTGACAGCTAACTTGACAAAAGATTTTTTTCTTTGAATTCAAATAGAAGCCCCTCAACCCCAGGGCTCCACTGTACCTGGAATGTTATGTTTACAAGAAGCGGTACAGGGATAACACAGTTGCCTACTTTGACAGAAAAGATGTGTTCCTTTTTCTAAGGAAGGGGGAAGACAGGCAGGGACTGGAGGGAAAATATGAACTGTACTCGGAGGGGCAGTTAAAACTGGGAAACATGAAAGGGAGAAAAAAGTCTTAGAGCCTTGGTTTAAAGTGGTTAAGGAATTATCCTCAATGTTAGCAGAACCTGAAGCCCAAGATTACAACAAGGAGTAAAAGTTCTGACTTTAGTCTAGGTTCTGCTTTGAAAAGAATCTAAATTTGCTGGCTATGGGAGAGAACAGAACAGTAGAAGACATTTTCCTCCTTCCCTCTCCTGGATTTTTAATTCTGTTTTAGGGCAAGTAGGGTCAAAGACCTCTCAGATTTAGGCATAAAATGACCAACTTGAAGAATAATCTACAAAAAACTCTTAACAAATCACTCAAGGCAGGGGGAAGGTGGGGGGTGGGGGGAGGAGTTCATTTCTAGCCATAGTCTATAGAGACCATCAGTCCAAAAAGTCTGTTTATAAAGATGATAATAAGTAATATTAACATTTTAATATTTAATCAACATACTGAATTTGAATATTCTTACAGATTTTTATTGAATTGGGCAACCATATCTATATTTGGAAAGCTGAAACTCTACGGTGTTTTGTGAAATGGTGAAAAATTATAAAAGACAGGAAATTTGATAAAGTATTATATAACAAGATCTTATAATCATTGCTTAGAATTCTCTATTCCTGAACCAGATTGTCTAAGGAAAGGTAGAAAGTTGAGCTCATACAGAATAAATGAAAAAGCATAGAAATAATTTTAGAATCAACATTTTACTGGGTACTTATTACTCAGTGAGATCAGAACCTTCATGCTTTGAAGAAACAGAACTATATATTAGATCTTAAAATTTTCTGTTTTTTTTTCAACTTTCTAATCAATATAATATTGCATGCCTCAACATTCAAACATTTTAGCTATAGACCTTTTCTTCCCATCAGAGTGGTCAAAGCAAGGACACAAATAAAAGTTGAATCAATAGAAGTAATTACCTTTGACATCAATGCCATGATTTCAATATCCATCATGGGTCAGTGACAAAGGCTAGAAGATTGTAAAGGTATCCCACTACATGTAGTTTGAAAACTCAAGATGACATCAGCACATTAACGATACAAATATTATAGACAAGTGAAGAGCAACAAGAAATTACTTCAGCAATTATCTGACCAGTTGTAGAAAATTTATCTACAGGGACACTGTGAGAATGTACTAGGGAGGGGAGACTGGGTGGCTCAGTCAGTTAAGTGTTTGACTCTTGGTTTCGGCTCATGTCATGATCTCAGGGTCATGAGATTGAGCCCCAAGTCGACAGGCTCCACGCTGAGCATGGAGCCTGCTTAAGATTCTCTCTCTTCTCTCTTGCCCTCTGCCCCTCGCCTGCGCTCTCACACACGCTCTCACCCACATGTTTGCATGCTCTTTCTCTCTCAAAAAAAAAAAAAAAAAAGAATGCACTAGGAAGCATCAAATGTGACACTTTTCTAGTTTAAAAAAAAAGGGAAAAAAAGGAAAAGAAAAAAGAAAAGAAAAAAAGACAGGAGCAAAAACTCCTTCCAAATAAGTCTGGAAGGACTACAGGCAACTCCGGGCAAATATCACACTAACCCATGATGTGAAATAAAACACTTTGTTGACAAAAAGAAAATGGGAGTTCTCACCTTCTTTGCTTGGTGTAAGGGGATGTAAAGTATCACCTGCTGTGAATGTCCTAGAGGAAAGAGCTAACTCGAGGAGCTGAAAAATATGCCTGCTGGGAATGAGCCATATGGCACAGCACAGTGTTTTCCAATGTGGGGTCTATGTGTACATGAGATTACTTTTTATGAGGACAAAGAACAAGGTGAGTGTGCATATGTATGATTTTCTATTTATGCTTGTGATACTGATTTTCCACTTCTGGCAGCAATTTTTGTTTTTTATAAGAGGTTATTATTTAATATAAAAAGTGATTTTATTTAAGCAGGAATCAGAGTCTCTCCACCCACTTCTTGCAGTGAGATGGGTGCCTTCTGGAACTTCGGTGAAAGTTTGGGGATTTATTCTTTGGTTTACTCTCTGCACGGAAGAAGACCAACCACGGGTGATACCATACGAAAAAAAGGATTAAGTGAATGAGGCAAGAAATACCCAATCTTTTTCCCCTACTCAGCTCTCAGGCAGTCAAGTATTCTCCCTCTAAACAGGAAGCTGCAGAAGTCTTCTTTAAAATTATGACAGCCCAAGAGAAAAAACAATGATACTAAACACCAGAGGGAACCCAGTTAAAAAGCCCAGTCAGATGACCCTACATTGAAGTCAATGACCCACCCATGCATTCACATGGTGTTTATCCTCATGCTTTTAAATATGGATAAACACCCAAGATTATGAGATATCAAAGAAATGCTTCAAAAATAAAAGGAGACAAAAAACAAAAAACAAACCAAACCCCAAAACCAAGAACAAAGTAGCTTGAAGGAAACAGACTATACACAGTAAAGAAAAAAATTTCAACAACTTTAAAAAAATTAATATCTTCGAGGAGAAATAAAAAGATAAGATAATCAGGAAATAAAACATGATGTTACAAAAAGGAACATACAGGAAAACTTCAAAAAAGCTTCTTGATCCCAGCACTCTCCCTGCCCATCCCATTCCTATCTCCCGAAAAGAAATTAACCTTAAGTGCCTCTGTCTACCATTTAGCAAAAGCTATCCCTTTCCCTAACTACTTTCCTATAACTGTTAAGAGCAACGTTTGCTAAAGATTCTCCTTGATACTAAGAAATTACAGGCAAATTGCAAGTCTCAAGATAATGCTCTATATGATCTTTCTCATTTATTTTCTCACCACTCTTCGGAAGAAATGATAGACCAAGGTGTTCCCAATCCACACTGTAGAACTATTAATTGGCACAAAGAGCATTATTTTGTCAGTATCTTTCCAAAACAAGCTGAGTGTCCTGAGTATGAATAAGCTCTGTAGTAAACATGTGACGATGAATTCATTCTCAATTTTTTAAATGGAATGAGTCAGATCTCCAGACCTTTAAGATAATTTAATTTTCATTCAACAGTATTTTTCTAGTCACCAAAATACTCAGGCATTTTCTAAATCATCACAAAGGCAAAATCCTTGCCTGGAGGGTATATGCAACCTCTCCTTTATTATGTACTACTTCTTGTGAAACAATTTATGAAACTCTGATTGCTGATATTTCGATAGGAAAGAAAGAGGAAGTTGTGATAAAGAATAGGAGAGGGGAGAGGAGAAGGGACAGAACCTATGGAGGAAGATGGTCAAGGCAGAAATAAATGTTTTCTTCGGGAGTGAAGAGGCTCTTCCAGAATAGGGATTATGGTTTGGATACTTTTCTTTGCATCCCTACAGCCCAACCTGGACAGAATCTGCCACATCCAGGAAGGGCTCGAGAAACATTTGCTGAGTTAACGCAGGGGCTGAACTCCATCTATCTCGGCGCCCACCGGGCCAGAACACATCTGAGGGGCGACAGCAGCTCCTTACCTGTTGTTGCACAGGTACCTGCTGCACCACCTGGGTAGGCACTGCTGCTTGACTGGCCACAGACGTCTGTAAAGTCACTGTCGAACCTGTGTCCGACCCGGTCTCTGATGTCTGCATGATGGTCTCTGAAATGTAGCCAAACAGAGATAAAGTTGTAAACGCGCGCCTCATGCGACCAGCTGCATGACATTTGTTCTTAAAGTCCTATACAGAGAATAACTTTCAACTCTCAAGTGTACTTCTTACGCCAACACCCCGCCATGATCTTCCATGCATGGTTAGAGTCACTCTGGCCACTTTTTAAATAAATGCAGAAAATGACAAAGTCGCATTCAAAAAAAGAAAAATCCCCATTTAGCACCTCTCGCTTTGAGGCTATAAAAGCTGAACTTCATTGAAATCTACCTTCCTTAGGTCTCATCCATTATAAATTGGTTCAATTGTATTATAAACTACAGTCCAAAATTATTTCCAGATACTCAATTTTCAGTCCACAAACCCTAACTAGATGTAAATATGTCATAAAATGTTATTTTCTAGACACTTTTTTGGCCATTAAGATGTCACCAAAGGTGTATAATTTAGAATAAATTATTTCTAACATCCTTTCCAACTTTCAAACTTACTATGCTGTGATCTAAAAATAAAAAGCAATGTATATCCAAAAATTTAACGAAAGGATCAGGCTCACTGATTTGCTCTGCCTTTGGTATGATTCATACTAAAATCAAACTTGATTTTACACAGAGATAGCCAAAGATCAACAATGTTTAGTATTTTGAGGATGGGGAGGACTACTCTTAGAGAAATGAGATTTGTAAGCAAAGCCACGAAATTTTACCTTCTCCCATTCAGAGTTCAACCTGGCACATTTTTTAGTTCGTATGTGTGTAACCTGCTCACACAGGGTAAATTCCGTAGCATGTGCTCTAACAGGTCTGGTTTCTCAGACCTCCCGGTCTCAACATTCCCTTCTGCTACTTATATGGTCAGTGGAATAAGTACTAATTTCTTTGTTACTGAACAGGGCCCAGAATTCTAATTTTCTTTTCTGGGGGCTTGGGGGCACAATATTTAATTGGTAGCCTAAGAAAAATACTGCATTATGGTTTAAATCTGTGAACAGTAATGGTGAATATTAATTTTCCCCAAGAAAATTCTGGAAGAGTATCCAGTTCTTTCAAGTAGAAAATTAAGCCCCTCATCATTTTTGTCACAGTGTGCCCTCTTCCAATTTTCCCCCCAAACCTTTTCTATCATCTCATTCGATTTTGGAAATGGACCTCTGAAGACACCTCATCCACTTTTCTTATTTTATAAACGAGAAAACTAAAACCCAGAGAGGTGGAGACTCACTCAAAGTGACAGGAACAGTCATGGGAATAGGCCTGGTCCTAAGAGCTAAGGACTCTTCCAAATGCTCTACATGTTAACGTATGAGTAAATTAATCCATGTAACAACCCAGTGTGATTGGTAGGGTTATAATCCTCCACTTACAGAAGAGGGACCCCGGGCACACAGACTGAAGATGGTTAGAAGCTTATAAAATAAAGGAGGAAGTGATAGAGACTGTAGCTACCACCCCATTTATTTGGGTCAGCTACTAACGTTCAGCTCCAAGAAGTTGAGAATTTGTGGGAAGGCTAAGCTGTAGGTGCCAGGTCTCCCAATTTTCCAAACGAAGCTGAAAGTTCAGATTTTTATGTGAAATCTCCCAAATGATGGTTCCTTTTTTAAACTGTAGTATTAATCTTCAAGCGAACACACACACACACACACACACACACACACACACACACGCATGCATGCACACACACCCCTTTGGGCTAATATTTAAGACCATGGACATGCCTGAAAATGTCTGAGAATGACAGAATTCACTACATAAAATTCTTGTCTAGTTAAGATTAAGTGGAAGACCCCTGGTTCTCAAACTTTGGGGAAGGGATATACACATTAGGAACCCTATCTGTGCCTCTTCCTTTATTCCATCCCAGAGGGAAAAATATACCCTCCCCAAAATGAAAGCAAAACCAATGCCCTTTGATTCATTACATGCTTGTAGACCATCAATACCTACTGTGCTACCGCAGAGGAACTATTAGTGAAAGTGAGGGGATTAGTGAGCTCTTTCTGCAGAGAATGAAGAATGAACCAGATGTTGCATGCCATCTCCAGGGAGGTTTTCTTAGCCTCTCTTCCCAACTCCAAGATAGGTGGAGGCCTTGAAATCTGCTTAGTATTTAAACGAAGACAGGGTTGCCAATTATGGCCATTTGAGGGTGGGTGTTTCTTAGAGTGAAGTCACTCACCTAAAACCCCCTCCTATTTCTCCAACGCTGGCTGGGAATTTTATCGAGGCTTTGTCATGTGCCCATACATTGTTCTGCAGACCAGTCTACACACCCCTTTTGGTATATGATCCATGCCTTGACATCTACTATTTTAGACCTAACATATTCAAGAATATAAAGATCTCTTTAAAAATTAAATATACTTGGAGGGCCTAGGTGACATAGTCGGTTAAGTGTCAGACCCTTGGTTTCTGCTCAGGTCGTGATCTCAGGGTCGTGAGATTGAGCTCCACATCGTGCTCAGCGCAGAGTCTGCTTAAGACTCTCTCTCTGCCCCTCCCCCCCCAAAATGAATAAATAAATAAATGAATCTTTTAAGAAAAATTAAACACACTTTTAAAGCAATTCCTAAGAATTCTCAATAAGCTATCTGAGAGAGCTTATCAGAAGATAAAAGGCACAGATTTGAAAACTGGCCTCTCATGGGCTATATTAGACTCCAAAGACAGGCTTTGGCTCAGAGTTACTACAAATTAAAATTCTTAATTACCAATATTTAAAAATTGGAAATCTCCATGTTAAAAACCAATTTCCAGATTCTTACAAAAAATATGAAAATTTAGAAAAGGTGAGCCTATATTATGTGTTTTATAGACAAATTATTTAAATGGCAATACTCCTTCACTTGCCTGGCCTCTATAGGCATGGGAGTTCATGACACTTTTTGGGGTAATCAGAAATTTAGTCTTATGCATCCAGATTGAAAATGGAAAAATTACACTTTGGGTTTAATCTTGATAACATTTATACTCATTTGCTTCTTTCATATAAAAGAGAAATACCCAAGTTTTCAACACTTTACTAAGAGAAATGTGTAACCAGATGATTGGAAGTATGATTTTCCTCATTTTGCAGATGAGTCAACGGACACCCAGAGATGTTAGGTCACACTTAGCCAAGGTCAAACAGCTGGAGGTTGGAAAGGAGGGTTTGGATATACCAACAAAGCTCACGCACTAAACAACTAGACCAAGTAAGTGGGGAGTCCTGAATTTCAGAATAGACACTGCATAGATAGAAGAGAAGAGATTAAAGAAAAGCAAACTGGGGACCTTTTTGGAATGAAAAGGAAGGAAAGCGGTCCCAACTATTTTAGAGGAGCAATCTTTGCAGGAGAGACTGGGGAAAATGAGATGGAAGGAAAATTACGGCTTTGTAACTTCAAGTGAGAAAGTCATGGAGAGCTTTCCATCCAGCCTCTGGCTCCATGCCACCTCAAAACTGGCACAGAAAGCCCAATCCAGAATGACCAGTAATTGCCCCAGAACATCTTCTGTTTCCTGCCCGTGACTGCTCCTCATCGCACCTCATCAGCTCCTGGATCACAGGGTCGTGTCAAAGGATAAGAACTTAGTCTCTCCATCTCTCCTTGACGGACCCAACTCCATCCTCCTATTTCACTGTCCTTCCTCAGTTATGAGGAAGCGACTTCCCTTGCCAAGGCCTCATGGCTTGAGAGGGTCTCAGTCCCATCCCTGGCAGAGACTGGCTCAAAAACTCACAACCGTAATTAGGTCTCTCATCTGACAAGTCTTTCCTGGGTGCCATGCAATACGCTAAGTGCTCAAAATACAACTCATTTAATCCTCAGAAGACTCCCATTAATGGCAGCACTCTCATTTCCACTTAACAAACAAGGAAACTGAGGCACAAATGGATTATGTAACTTGCTGAACGCCACACAGCAGGTAAGTGGAAGAGCCTGAGTTCAAACCCAGGTTTATCTGACCCCAAAACCTACGATGTCACCACTACATATGTATTACTTTGCAATATCATGATGACAGGGCTTCCAAATGAAAAGTTACAGACTGTGGGTCTGAATGGCCAAGTCTTTGGGATTCTCAATCCATTGTATTTGATCTACATCTTCCAATAACAATGGACAGGCATCACTTCTCTCTCTGACATGGAAATTAGGAAGTGTTCTCTCTCTTTCTGCTGAGGCCATAAGAGAACCTAACTCCTAAGTATTTTTCCAGAGGCATTTTAACTGATTAATTCTGAAGACCTGACTTAACAGCAGATCAATTAGAATGTTAAAGCATGTCTGAGGAGTAGAACCCTCCTGCCAAATTTTGCTAAACAGATCATTTAAACCCACTGACGCATTCAGAGTGTTCTGGTAGCTTTCCAACATTTCAGCAAAGCAAGAATCATCACTGAGGGTAGTGTCTTAGCAGGCTTTACTTGTAGGTTTTGTTTTAGACCCAACATAAGGTTTGTGTGTACATTTGAGGTGTTCCCATTCAACCAGCAGTGGTTTCTGTGCTTTGTTTATGTTTGGGAGTAATTTGGTTAGTTCAGTTCCTTCACAGCCCCCTTTCAAGTGATATTTGTTTATCAGCCACAAATGCAGTCACATTAATCCATTTTGATAAGCTAAATAAACCCCTGCAGTTGGTCCATGATGCAGCCCATATGTAAATGAGTTGTATATTCTTGCAGGAGAGACATGCACAATTTCAGTCTAGTCATCCTTGCCTAATGTGGCTGTCAGGTGTGTCAAGAGCAACAGATGCTTGTTTGACAAAGGACCTTTTTATTCTGGCTAATTAAGCAGTTGGACACACCCGCCTGTTAACGGTTCTGCTTTGTACGGCCAACTCTGGCTGAATCATGCGAATCTACAGCTAAATAGGCCACATTTTGAAAGAAGGCTAATTAACCCCTAGGAGAAGGAAAAGAATATTGCAAAAACCCAGCTGCTGAATGCAACAAGATTAGCATTTCTTCAACCTGATGGGCAAAACCTAGGCAAAGCAAATGT